GTTTCTTCTCCTCCTCGCACTTTTTTCGCTGCGCTTCTTCTTTCTCTTTCTTTTCAATTGCCTCTTGCATTTTTTTCATTGCGCACTTTGCTCTAATAGCGTCTTCTTCTTGCTTTTTCTTAAGAGATTGGCATCTTTCTTCTTCCTTTCGTTTTCTCTCCTCTGCCTCTTTACGTTTCTTCTCCTCCTCGCACTTTTTTCGCTGCGCTTCTTCTTTCTCTTTCTTTTCGATTGCCTCTTGCATTTTTTTCATTGCGCACTTTGCCCTAATAGCGTCTTCTTCTTCCTTTTTCTTAAGAGCTTCGCACTCTTCTTCCTCCTTTCGCTTTTTTTCCTGAGCCTCTTTCTGTTTCTTCTCCTTCTCGCACTTTTTTCTTAGTGCTTCTTCTTTTTCTTTCTTTTCAAGCTCTTCCTTCATTTTTTTCTTTGCACACCTCGCTCTTACAGCGTCTTCCTCTTGCTTTTTCTTAAGAGCTTCGCACTCTTCCTCTTCTTTTCGCTTTTTTTCTTTCTGTTTTCTCTCCTCCTCGCACTTTTTTCTTTGCGCTTCTTCTTTTTCTTTCTTTTCAAGTTCCTCTCTCATTTTTTTCTTGGCGCACTTTACTCTGAGAGCGTCTTCCTCCTGCTTTTTCTTCAGATCTTCACACTTGGCAGCTTCTTCTTTTCTTTTCTGCTCCTCTTTTAGTTTCTTTTCCTCCTCACATTTCTTTTTTTCCGCCTCTTTACTTTGCTTTTCATTTCCCTCGAAATCTCGCATTTTTATCATCGCGCACTTAATTCGTAAAGCGTCTTCTTTTAATTTTTGTTTGAGAGCTTTGCACTTTTCTTCTAAATCGATTTCTTTGCCTTTCTTCTCGTCTTTACTTTGGGCCCTGTCTTCGTGATTCTGCTTTTCACCCGCGCACTCTTTCTTAGTAACACCTTGTAATTTTTTTTTTAGAGCTTTACACTTTTCCTTTAACGCCTCTTTCTCACATTTTTCCTTGAGCTTCTTCTCATCTGCTTGCTTTGTATCCACTTCTGCCTCACACTCTTTTTTGGGTGCCCTCCCCACTTTTCTCTTTTCAGTCACATCTTGCAATTGCTTCTCTATCTTTTTAATAAGTGCTTCGCACTTTTGATGCAGAATTTCTGCTTCGCGCTCTTTCTTTTCAGCGATTTCTTGGTTCTTTTTGTCTTGCTCGCATTTGTTTTTTGAAGACTTTTTCTGCTTTTCCTCGCACTCTTTCTGCTTCTTCAACTTTTCGCACTCTCTCTTCTGAGCTTCTTCTTTTTCCTTTTGCTTTTCTATAACTGCTCGCGTTCTCAGCAACGCGCACTTTTTTCTTATGGCATCCTCTTGCAATCTTTTTTTGAGAGATTCACACTTTTCTTTAATAGCCAGCTCTTCGCACTTTTTCTTTTCAGCCTCCTCTTCCTGTCTCTTCTTTTCCTCTTCGCATTGTTTTCTTTGTTGTTTCTGTTTGTTTTTGTCGCTTTTTTTCGTTGGTCCACTCTCTTGAGTCTTTTTATTCGGGTCTTTATTTTCTTCTTCCTTCTCTTCTGTCTTCTTACAAGCTTTTTCTAAGCACTTTTTCTTCAATTTTTCTACTTCGCTCTTGATAAACTCATCTTGTTCGCACTTTGCCTCCATCAGCTCCTTCTGTAGTTCCTTATTCTCGCAGATCTCCTCGCATATAGTAGGCTCCTTTTTCTTCTTTGCTTTCGCCCTCTCTTTACATGCTTTACATTCAGCAGCTTTATCTTTGGAACACGTTGTTTTAATTGCTTCGCACATTTCCGCCAATACTTTTTTTCTACATTGCTCTTTGATATGAGCCGACAAATATTTATGAGAACGCGCCAGTTGGATTTTCTCACGTTTGCTCAATGTTTCACGGCACTTGCAGATATCTGACCATTCTTTTCGAATACATTTCTCCAACTTTATTAAATATTTGTTCTGGGGACTTATTGGGGTATTGTCAATTTTACCGTTGCTGCACAAGGAGTTACAAATAGTTTCAATTGGATCGCAATCCTCATTTCCTGACTTTTGTTTATCAACTTTATTACAATCAGTTTGTTCCTTTTTCTCACCCTTTACACTATTACTTTTTGACTTCTCTTCAGATTTGCATTTCTTCTTCTTATCTTTCTGCTCATTACTATCCTTACACCTTTGCTCCGCTTTGGGCTCTTCTGTCTTAGCATTCTTTTTCTTACACTTCTTTTTCATTTTCTTTTTAGAGTCCTCTTTGTATTTATCCCCAGCACAATTAGCACTCATTCTCCTTTTATCGCACTGCTTTAATATCTTTTTAATCTTTGCAGCTTTAATCAGCACAGCACATTTTTGTTCAAGCTCTTTATCGTTGCGAAGCTTCCTATGTGCTAGTTTTTTGCAGGCCTTTCTCATGCCACGCGTTAGACAGCTCATCATGCCCTCCAAAGCCATTCTTTCCTTCTTATCCATGCACTGCATTTCCTCGGCAAGTCGCTTTCTTTGAGCAATCAGACAATTTTCTTCATATTGCTTAAGCTGTTGTTCCTCTTTCAGCTTTCTGCAGGCCGCTTCATTTCTCTCTTTTTCTTTTTCCTTTTTATCCAATATTTTTGAATACACGTTACAAGGACAATCATCAGAAGAACCCGCGGCTGAGTCTGATTTTTTACTATAGGACACACATGGTGTGTATTTTAACGGAAGTTTCGTGGAATGCATACCATCTAAACAGCCCGTAAGAATAAAAATGCTTCTCAGAATTGACTTACGCATACAAACGGAAGTGAATCTATTAAAAGACATGCTGATTGGCTTAATTTAAATACTAATACCGCAAATTAAATAAATATACAATTTTGTAATTACTAAGAAAGTGTTATAGCTAAAATTTTGACATAGTGTGATCCAAAAATTTTCTGTATTCTAGACTTGATCTTTTTGATCTGAGTTGTGTTTTCCAACTTTTTGAATATACACATTTAAAAAGGAGTACTAGATATCCTAACCAAAAGATTACAATTTTATATATCCATTTTCGTACATTTGCGAGAAATACCGTAAAAAGAAAAGTCATAAACGTGTCGAATTTTTAATTAAATTATATTACTTCTATATTTACAATTCATTTCTCCTACTTAGCATATCTTAAAAACCATTGTTCTTAAAGTTTCTGTTCAAAAAGCATATACAATACATGTTATTCTTTTATTGATAAATATAAATATAAATCTGTAATTTGGATAACTGTACTACTAATCGTCGATACCATCTGTTTGTTTGTTCTTCAGAGCTTGTTCTTCTTCTTTCTTTTTACGCATCTCCTCCGCGCATTTTAATTCTAGTTCCTTGAATTTCATATCCAGAGTATCAGCTTCGATATTTTCACCAGAAGCTGCCTTGTTTTTCTCCACCTCTGTTTTATTGTTGTCAGTCATGTTTTCGGAATATTTTGCAGCACTTTTCTTATAATCATTGTCTTTCTTTTCGGCATTTTGGCTTTCCTTCTTGCGAGCGTCTTCCCGGCACATTGCTCTGAGAACCTCCGCCTCTTTCTTTTTCTTAAGAATCTTTTCTTCACATAATTTCTTTAGGGCCCTTAGCCTTTTCCGTAGAGCTGCTTCATCGCAATTTTTTTGTAAAATCTCCTCGTCTTTCTTTCTCTTTTGATATTCGAGTTCTCTCTTTTCCAATTCAGCTTTTATTTCTATGCGTTGTTGGAGAGACTCATTTTTTGCCCGCTGTTTAAGAATCTCTTGCTCTTGCCTTTTTTTACATTCGGCGTCTTTCTTCAATTGAGCTAGGGCCTTTTTAAATTCACGTTTTCTTTTAGCCGCCTCTTTGCATTGTTTCCTCAGGGCCTCTTCTTCACTCTCATTTCCTTTGCTCTTGCTCTCTCTCCTCTTATCATCCTTTTTAAAAGCCTTCAAATCTTCCTTGTTCCTCGGTTTCTCTTCTTTATTCTTCTGAACTTTCCTATCCTCCTTAGAAGCCCCACACTCGAATATTTGCGCTTTGTCGTTTTCTCCTACCCCTAAGTTACTAGACCCTTTTACATTTTGCTCTTGATCTTTAAATATTCCGTCATTCGTACTAGTTTGCGGCTTACTTTGTGATTGACGACATCCTTTACTCTGTTTTTCGGAATAAAATTTCTTACTTTCCTTGCACATCTGTTTCAATACTTTCATTTTGCAAATTCGCTTAATTTGAGATGCCACACATTTGTGGGAAGCCGAAAGCTTCTGCTGTTCTACTTTTGTTAATTTTTGTCGAATTTGGCATATATCGGTCCACTCTTGCCTAATGGCCTTCTTTAGTTTTAATAAGTATTGATCTTTTGGGCTGTCTTTCCTTCCTGGACACTCCGATGTATTCTTACACAATTGCAAATACAAACATATATTTGCTATGGGATCGATCTTCTCAACTTTGTTCTCAGATTTCGTTTTACTTGTCGATGTCTCCGACTTCTTGTTAGCCGTCTGATCGCCCTTGCCTGTCTTCTTATTTTTTTCTTTCTGGTTTTTTTCATTTTCGCAGTACTTTAATAACTTTCTAATCTTATCTTTTTTAGCCATCAAGGAACACTTCGCATCTAGGCGTTTCTCACGCCTAAGCTTCCTTTTTGATTCCTCCTTACACTCTCGTTTCATGCCCTTCTCAAGACACGGTAACATACTTTTTAATACGGCCTGCTCGGTCTTATCCAATGACTGTATATCCTTAGCAAAAGCTCTTCTTCGCTCCGCCATACACAATTCTTCGAATAGTTGAAGCTTATCTTTATCTGCCTGATTCTCCAAGGCTTCAGCTTCAGAGTCTACTGTACTCTTACCACCCTTATCAGGTCCTGTGCACTCATTCTGATTATTCTTCGCTTCCTTACTGCAAGGCTCGGAGAATGAATCACTTTTCTTGCTATAAGGAATCCTTTGGAAGTTGTTCACTTTATCTCGTTGCAGATACTTTTGATCCAAGGATCCAGTTACTAGCGAAATACCTCTGTATACGGCCTTACGCATGAGCCCGCAATAAACACGACAAAACAACATTTTGAATTTATTATATAAGATTTGGCGGCTCTAAATAAAACATTAAAATTATATATTGTGAATTTTATCCAGCTTTAATTATGGTTTTAGCGAAATTTAGACATTATTTCAAATCAAAAGTAACCTATATGTGTGTGATGAATCTCTATTTTAGACTGAGGTGCTGCTGAAATTAAAAACAGTGTCATTTGGACGGGAATCATCAGTAAGTAGGCTCTGCTACAGAAAAAGGGTTTGCATACAGCTTGCGTGTTTTGTTGTGTCTTTCGAAAATGGAATAATACAGAAATAAACGGTTTTTATACAATATATTGTATTAGGAGAGGGGATTTAAAGCTCTTTCAGAGTGCCTCAGCGCAGCTACGAGCTCTGGCATAATGTCAAATCCAATTTATGATTTATAAAACTCGACTTCATATTTTTTGTTAAAAGAAATTCATCAAATATTTTAACCCATTAAAACAGGGTTGAAAATGCAACTATATTAAAAATGATTTCCCATTTTCAACGGGTTCTAGTTTATACACTGAATATAATATGTCAAGCACTAGCTTCTGCATAATAAAATGAGACATGAAATGAAACGAATATTTAAATACGCTATAAGTTTGCGATTTATAATTGATTTCACACCATTATATTCCCAAAATTCATACATAGATAAAAACACTGCATGATTTATAAATAAATATCAATTTATATTTTATTAATCATAATACGCTGAAATTTTTATCTGAATTCCTTAACTTCAAGCCGTTTCCTGCATCTGAACTATCTGTACATTTCTAAACCTTGTACTCGAAAATATCATGCAAAGCCTACACATTCTACATAATTCTTAGATGCGAGCCTTCAGTTCAACCCGTCACTCCGCAGTAGCCTCATCTTTGTTTTTAAGCTGCTCGTTGAATAGCGGCCTCAGCATGTGATTTTTGGCCCTTGCTCGTTTAGATTGAAATGAAGTCTTCTCTCTGCCTGTTGCTTGTACTTGAATCTGTTCTCAGCGTCTGTCGCGTTGCTATTGCTTTACTCCTCTTCGTCCTTAGCACACTTTTTAGCTTTAGCTGCCTTTGCACACTTTTTCTTCAGAGCTTCTTCCTGCTTCTTTTTGGCCAGCTTAGCACACTTCTTTTTCAGCTCATCTTTCTTTCCCTTCTTTCCCTTCTTTCCATTTTTTCCCTTCTTACCCTTTCCGTTCTTTCCCTTCTTTCCTTTCTTTCCCTTCTTAGCTAATTTTGCACATTTCTTCTTTTCAGCAGCTTCTTTCTGCTTCTTGGCTAAGGCTGCACACTTCTTCTTTTCGGCGGCTTCTTTCTCCTTTTTAGCTAAAGCCTCACACTTTTTCTTTTCTGCAGCCGCTTTCTCTTTTTTGGCAGCTTCTGCACACTTCTTCTTCAAGGCTGCCTCTGCGCACTTTTTCTTTAAGTCTGCATCTTTGTCCTTACCACATTTCTTAGCATATGAAACCCGTTGGATGGTATTAAATGTAACCCGGGGTAGAAATTTATATCCCAAAGACCCAGTTAGGGTAGAAACAGTTCTGAGCATCGCTGGCCGGGGCAAAGCGCAAACAAGACGGCCGAAAAAATTCATGTTGAATTCAATTCAATTAAAAAACCAAAAAAAATATATTTTTTTTATTTAAAAAAAATATTTATAATTTCGACTAAAATTTTGAATTTTTAAAAGCCAAAATTGAACTGAGCCGAACGAGTGAGTGAGTTAGACTGATGAAATAGAAACATCTCCATCAATACCTACAAGGTTCAGTCAAACTTTGTATACTTTGATTTGTAAAAATCATGCGGCTTGCCGGTACTAAAACGGGAGTACTCGACTAGACGATACTCATTACTATTTGCAAAGGCACTACAGTTTAATTATAATATATATTTATTTATTCAGAGTACTGTTTATTCTTATATAGGGATTAATTAGCATGAAATCATTACATTTTCTGTGGATTCAACATTTATTTATTTTGTACTTTTAACTATATTTTGTTCCTACGGATTCCAAGCCAATCGCTGTCAGATTCAATTTCATTTGGTCAAATTGGGATATTATGAAATGCCTCTAATAACAGTTTTTTTGCAAAGTCCATGAGCCATTTCGACGCTAGTGAAGACTGATATAAATGCAAGTATGTGCCCAATTTGCATATTAAATTGTTGCGAACAATCGTATGATATTGCTCGCTGTGTGCAGTCAGACCCTTTCAATAAAATTCGCAAAAATTGTATGTCTACTGGGCGTGACACATCGGCATTTTCCCCTTGCAAATTTAATGTGACTAAAACTAAAAGAGATTGCTCAGACGACAGGAGCGTATGTCTCCTTTTCACTCCAGAAACGCCTGACAACCTATTTGATATCAAGTTAGCTTTTCGATTTTTATAATGTTCTTTCTAGTAGGCGCCACAAGTATATCTTTCAAAATGTCAGCGAATAAAATAGCCTTAATAAATCATAGTCGCACTTGGTCCATTTTTTATTATAATATGCGTTATCGCCAATCAGAGCCCACCTAAAGCACTTTTGAACCCAGCTCCTTATACAAAACTACAAAAATGAATAAACACATGGAAACTTTCGAAATAATTTATAGTATATTTGTATACTGTGTTACACTTAAATTAATTCTTTTCTTCATTCTGATCTGTTATATATCTGGTTTACGCATTTACAGTAGGAATTCTTTATTTTTTAAGACCACTTTGCAAGCACAAAGTCCAGTCTTCTCATCGTTGTTTGGTAGGAGCCTCTTTATTCTCTCAAGCAGTTGTTTCTCACTTCACATTTATTGGACCCCTTCTGTCGCGTATTTACACGTTTCTTCTGATTCTGTCTAGACACATGTCAGGATTGCTTGGGTGCTTCACTTGCGTAATCTATACTTTCAAGAATTTCACATTTTGGGTCGCTGGCTCACTTCTTTTTGTCAGAGTCAGTCTTGTTCTTTTTAGCCAACTCTGCGCACTTTTTCTTTTGAGCTAACTCTTCACACTTTTTCTTTTGAGCCGCTGCCTTCTTCTTTTTAGCTGCTGCTTCTTTCTTCTTCTTCGCAGCCTCTGCGCACTTTTTCTTCAGTGCTGCATCCTTTTCTTTTTTGGCAATAGCTGCACACTTCTTTTTGAGCTCAGCCTCTTTCTTTGCAGCCGCTGCCTTCTCCTTTTTAGCAGCCTCTTCGCATTTTTTCTTTAGAGCTGCCTCTTCACACTTTTTCTTTGCCGCCGCTTCCTTTGCTTTTTTAGCAGCCTCTGCACACTTTTTCTTTTCAGCTTCCTTTTTAGCAGCTTCTGCACACCTTTTCCTCTCAGCCGCTTCCTTCTCCTTCTTGGCAGCCTCTGCGCACTTCTTCTTGGCAGCTGCTTCTGCACATTTCTTTTTTGCTTCATCTTCACATTTTTTGCTAAATTGGAATCGCTGTTGATAGCCGTCTAACGAAGACCGTGGCAGACCATTTGGTTCGACAGGGCCATTTAAGGTGGCAACACTGCGGACTATAACTTTACGTGGAAGAACACAAGCCAAGCGACTTAGAAACATCTTGAATTATTAAAAATAAAAAAATCGGATTTTGTGCCAAACTACAGTTTTAAATATTTTAATTTTTTGTTAAATTTTGAAAAAAAAATTTGGAAAATTTTGGACCGAAAACAACTTCAACCCGAAGCTTGTCTGCTTGCTACTGAGGAAATATTACACACCAGAAAAGCTCATTGGAAATGGAAATATGTACAGCATACTTTGCAATTTATTTATTTCGATTTATAAACTGAGTGTTTTTCAGTTTTTCAGTAATAAACCAACTGCAACGGGAGCCGTAACGCAAAAGTCATTTTATATTTTGAGACTGGCGACAATCCAAATCAAGATATAACCATACTTTTGCCATAGTAAACCCATCCAACTCAACAACTGCAGACCGTTGGCCCTACTAAATATAAGCTCATATTGAAGAAGTAAGCTCGACTAGGAGATACCATGAACCCTACATGATGATATTCTAATCATTCTGCAATTCTTTTATACGCGAATTTATACGTTTTTTCTATGGCGTTAAAACTATGCTGAAAGAAGCAAAATCAATTTATCGGTTATCGTCGATAAAAAGATATCGATTGAGTTATCGACAAAAATATAATCTTGAACTGCGTATAGTCGAGTCTACAGTTCAGCTCTCTAGCGCTTATAACTTCTACGATCTAGGCTTTGATACGGACAGACAGACGGACGGGGCTAAATCTGCTCAGCGAATCGCCTTGGTCAAGAATATCTATAGTTTGTGGTGTCTCCCACGCTTCCTTCTGCAATTCCTTTTCGCATTTTCAAAGGGATGAGGGTATACCTGGTTTGAATCAGTGAAAACTAAGACAACAATTACTACTTGATGCATTCAAAAGATCAATACCATATAAATCTATTGATACTGAACCACATCGATGGCCACGAGACGGTTGATAGTTGAATTGAGTGCGAAGATAGCAAATGGCTGACGAAGAAGAAGATGAACGAGAGCGTAATTTAGGAGTACAATGTTTAAGCTAAGATTTGCGAAAAGTAGCAGATTCATAAACTGGGAAAATTTCACAACTGGTGAAACCTATTTCATCGTACCATTAATCACTAGAAGGTAACATAACTTTTTTGTAGTTAAACCGCTATTTGTTATACCAGGGTATAATGGTTTCGTTGAAATGTATGTAACAGGCAGAAGGAGGCGTGGCAGACCCCACAAAGT